TCCATTTCATTTTAAAATAAACTTTCTTACAGAAAGACTCATTGTTTTTGCTAGTAACACTGAGATGTTGGTGCCTGCATCTCTAATCTGTATGTACCTGATTATTACTAGTAATATCAGTTGCACTTGGATCCTTGGTGCCTGTGTATGTCTATAAAGTCATTGGGTAGATTCCAATGGTAAACTTTATCACCTCTACTAATTAGTATGACGTAAATTTCCATGCTTCCTCCTCAAATATAATACATTTTTTAAATTTGTTGATGTGCGTGTGTGTGTGTGTGTGTGTGTGTGTGTGTGTGTATGTGTATCACACAGAACATCCCAAACCGTCTTACTCAGCTATACACCCACTTCCCAGATGGCACCCTCCCATAGCCTCCCTCCCCCCACTAGAGCCCTTATACTCTGATATTCCTGCTACTGTCTGCTGTGTTGGCAGCACCCCCAGACACTCCCCACTACTTGCCCTTCTGGTGGATCTAGTCAGCTTATCTAGAGGTCTGTTTTAGAAGGGTCAACTGTTCCTCATCTAGCAGCAATCAGTTGTCAATATTCCTTTAGATAAGATTGGGGTCTGCTGTTCATTTTCCCAGTTCTATGCTGGGATACTATCTGGGAGTTCCTTTGGCCACCCTGGCCAACAGCTCAAAAGAAGGAATCTCCTATCTGGCATTGTTGACTGTTATGTAGCCTTTAGCTATGCATATGGCCTTTTAAGAAATTATATTGGCCCTTTAATCTTTGGTTATACTTTCCTTTTAGGTGTTTAAGGCCACACAGTTGGCCCAGATAAACCAATTTATTTTTACTCTTAATGTCCTTTGAGGATCTGTTCCTCAGGGGTCACATGGGCTTGGGAGGAGCCCCTGGCTCTTTTTTTCTTACCAGTTCCATCTATGTGAAGATAAGTCAAAGGTCCTGCTTGACCATAGTTGGCTTTGCTTGGAAGCATGGAGGAAATGATTACTTTGTGTTGACCCTCCTCTTTGTAGCCTTGACACTGGTTCAAATTTATCTGGTGGGGTCTCCATGGCCTCATTGATCAAGAGGACAGGTGACCCACCACAATTACAGGACATTTTGAAATATGCTCATAGTCACCTGGAACTAGTTGACCTAGAAGGGCATGGAGCAAAAAGTATCCTTTGTGTCCCTCTGACCAAATTATTATAGGCCTGAAAGTATTTCTGTTAAACATCCAAGAAAGGTTAGTTCAACCAGTCTGGTACTTTTAATTACTGTGTGTCATGTAGATAAATCTTGGGCAAAGACTAATTGTTCTCAGATAAACC